TACAAACAACTTTTCCTGGCAAGTCTGTCGATGATTCCTACTTTTGAGGGTTGATTAGAACTCCTCAGTGGTTTTGATTCTTTGACATGCGTTGATGCCAGTTTGTGATCGAAGCACATGTATGGATTATAGAGGGATTAGCTGTCCCACTGAAGATGTTATGCGTTCCGTCTCAAACACGACAGTAGTAGTATTTGTCACTAAATCAAACCTATTAGATAATTTACGTGAAATTTTGAAATTTTGGTTTTATGACTTACTGTCTTTTGGAAACTTCAGTTTTTAACACCAACTTTTTCAACAACAATAATTATAGCGATTTGCTGAACAAATTGGTATGAACATTGAAAATATTGGCAATTTTGGTTTATTTTTGGCAAAACGACGATACAACAACAGTAACAATGCTCATTACATTTCATCAGTTTGCTCAACACAATATCCCGACAGTCTTTGTTCGTTTATTTCTTTTGCTTCAGAACAAAGCTGATTTCAATAATGTTTTCCCAGTTTTATTAGTTTTAATGAGTTTGCCGAAGTATTCGCTTCACATTCCACTCGTTCTGACTAGCTACAGCTAAGTTACATTCTTTTATATGAAAATAGTTATTTTTTATAGTTGGTGCTTGAAACGGCTATTGGTTCATCGTTGAATCATATTAGGAACGTTCTTCAGTGCTGTAGCCAACAACGAGAACTTTTTTATTCATTTCACAGTTATTTTGTCCAGCATTGTATCGCCTGGCGTTCTCGTCTGCTGAAGTGATTTCATAGTCACTAGCTATCCGAGCACAAGCTTTTTTTAGCAAGACTCTAGCCATTTGGGGATTCAGATGTGTGTTGAACTTCATCACCTCACTTTTAAATCCTTGCCACCCCAAGATGCCGCTGAGATAAGTTGCTGTGTAGAGGGTTTTTTGTATCAGCCACAGTTTGCATAGAGCATTTTCCAGAATTTTTTAGCAATTTATGGTCTCAGTTATTTTTGAATACCGTAGCGGCAAACCCGCGAAAAGCCAACCAAGAAGCCTCCACAACGAAAAAAAGAAGGAAGGTTTATCTTGTCTTGAAAGGCAGATACACAGTAGATGTGCTGTCAGGCTGAATCTAGATATAAGGGCCGGTGGGGTAGTGGTAACACGTTGTACCCGGACGTGAAGAGGGTTGGTTCGATTCCCTTCCGGTGCGGGACAATTTTTGAGAAAGGCCTCCGTTCACAACAAATATAATTAATATTTAATTGCAACCCATTAGTACTCGATTTTAATTTACAAGCACTGTAATTCACAGTTTCTCGCTCTAACTGTGCAGCTGGAAACTTTTCCACTTGCTTTGAATAATGCCGTACGTAGAAAAAATGATAGTCAACTGGATGACACCATTAATAAATGCAGGAGAAATTCTACTTCTCTTCCCATATCTTCTTTTTCGCTAAGTTATGAAACAGAATTTTCATTTTTTTACAGCGATTATACTTTCCAGGCGTTCGCTTGCTGCGCAATTTCGAATCGCCTTATTTATCGACACATTTGCTCAATCAGAAATCGGCAGCAGCAGGAGTGTTTTGTTATGTAACAATTAGGAAGCTAATTTGGGATCCGAGGATTGAAGAAGAAATGCTCGATGATCCTGGAGCCCTCTTACTACTGTATAAACAAGTTTGTTCTTTTTTTTTTTTTACAGAAATACAAAGATTGTCCTAATTTTTGACTGCATAAGTAGTTACCCTTTCTATCAAATGAGTGACGTGAAGGTTACCTTTGCTACCATCCCAGAAAGTAAAATTTGATGAGCAGAGCA